GCCAGAAATACAGAGAGACGCGGAGCGCACAAAAGCTGTAAACAGACTGAATCAGCGACGAGAAAATGGCGCCGGACGCACTTCTCTGACTCAGCTGTTGAGCGCCGAAAAGCGGGGCCCTACTGTAATTACTGTATGTATAAAATACCATATGCAACTTTTCTTTTAAAATTTTTGCATTAAAATGGATGTTCATCACAGAGACTTTGTTTTGGTAGCACAGAGTGCTATATTTGAATACACAAGACACAGATGACTTGTCAGCATCATTCATGTTAGCTGTATCAGCCATTAGGTGGTATAAAAAGCTTGACTTTCAAAATGTTCCCCTTTCTTGCAGCTGTAACGAGTGGGGGTATATTGTCAAGTGTTGTCGGTCCCTGCTAAATACAGCATTCTCCATTTTGCAACATGTTTTTAGTGCTGTGAATGTCTACCATAATTATTGTAAAAAGTATTTAACTCTGCACAGAATTAATTTTTACTTGGTTTATTATGGTATGGTTTATGCAGAGGGGTGATAAAACATGTACACTCAGTAACCAGCCACGATCCAATTCAGTCCTGTACATCTCCGTTCTCTTACATACGAATACGATATTACTTCTTGGTCATACACAAAATATTGAAGTCACTACAAATAAGAAATAAAAACCTAATAGTGACCTGCGATAATACAACCAACGAAGAAAAATACAAAGGACCAGAACATCATCAGAAAAATGAAGAATATAAATCATAAAAACAATAACAATCAGTAATTTCATGTAATAAGTTTAAACTACATAACACCCATTGATGGCTAAATTATAGCCGAAACTAGTCGTGTAAGTTCCAATGTAATCGAGTACTCGATAGGAACGTTAAATGATGTTTTAATCTTTTAACAATATTATATTTGTGATTGACGGCAAAAGTTTTTAATAAATATTTTAATAATATATAATCACAATATGACGCATTTACAATATCTTATGTACACTCAGGTCAAAAAACATTCTGCACAGTGCAGTTCACCCCATTGCTATACATGTATGTTAGTAAACTTCTACCAGACTGTAAGACACTAGAACCCAAAAGGCAGCCATCTTCGAAAAAACAAATTTCTAGAGGTAGAAGGAAAGCTTTCTGTAAATTAAAATGACAGGCAGTAGTTAGGTATGCAGTGGCAAGTGAAATACATCAGCTGGCACTACAAAGTGCAAAAGGAATTGTAATCGAGGTTTTCAATGCAAGCCGAGCTTTGTTTCAGTAACTGTTTAAATAAGACTGTTTCTGTGTAAGGTAGCAAACTAGTATTGCATATTGGCTTCCTAATGTGTTTGAAGAAGAAGCGTTAGTGTTTCCAAAATACTGATATTGCAAGGTGTCCCAGTTGATTGTTTTTCTCCATTTCATCTGTGGTTTTGCACTACGGCAGTGGACGTTCTTCTGACTTCCGGGAAGAAATATTAGGTGTAGACATTCCACCTTGTTAACACGTTGGCATTCAAAGTTTGGCTAACGTCTTTGCTCGAAAGATCACACAACTCATTCACCCCACAGCCCCCTACTGTAGCATGTCTTTTCTAAATGCACAGACTCACGTTAAGCAAACACAACAACTCACTGGCTGAAGCTGCTAAAGACGCATTTTATCTGATTGGTTCTCTGTGTTTCAGCGTATGGAATACCATTGAACCATGAAAGTATTTGCTAGGTTAACACAGCTAACATGAATTTTCTGCCCCTGTTTGTGATGTAACTTCT